AATTTGCCGTATTCGAGATTGGATTAGATGTGGAGACATAAAAGGAATTAGGATAAATCCTCCTTGTGATATGTTTCAAGAGTCAAATCAGAACAGACTCTACTCTCTTAATTCATCCCTGCTGAGTCAGGCATATCTACATCTACACTCTTCAAAGATGATAGATTCATTCTTCAAAGATGATAGATTCTCTTTTCAAAGATGATAGATTCTCTTTTTAAAGATGATAGATTCCTTTTTCAAAGATGAAAGCTTTATTGGATTTCTACACAAGTCCAGACAAAGAAAGCCGGTGTTACCAAAGACAAAATGGGACATCAAAGTCATAGTTCTGACTACGGCAAGAGTTCCATAAATGAAACATTTCTTCTGAGACTTAAATGAAGTTAAGAAGACGCAAAGATACAAGTTGATCAGATGATTCTACAGAAATGCAAGCTTGATATTATAAGTTTCTACACTGATATCCAGAGGTAACCCTGGCAATAAATGATGAATTGAAGGAAGACCAAGTTCACCACTTTGAAGTCAAATGAAGATTGCATCAACATTCATGCATTCATAAGAATATCATTTACACAATAGACGATGCATTACATTGATACATCTGAGTGCATTCAAACATAAAGTTTTACAGATCTTCAGAAGAACAAGAAGATTCATGGTAAAAAATACCTTACACAAAGAAGGTATTCAAAACCACAAATACATGAATCATACAAACATCTGAAGAAGAGATGGACGCAATCCACAAAAATGAGCATTATCTTCATATTGGGTCATGTCACCCAATCAACATGTTATTTCAAAAAACAGAATGAGAAAACGATTTTCATAGTTTCTCATTTTATCTTTTCTAAAATGAAATTGTTGAAAAGTAAGAAAACGATTTTTTTAGTTTTTTTACTTAGTAAACTATTTCTAACAGCCTTATCTTGAGATTGGGGCATGTTAACCAATCAACATGTTATTTTGAAAAATAATGAGAAAACGATTTCCATAGTTTCTCATTCAATCTTTTCTAAAAATGAAATTGTTGAAAAGTAAGAAAACGATTTTCATAGTTTCTTACTTAGTAAACTATTTCCCACATCTGTAAGTCCTTCAGTGCATGATGTTTCCAAAAAGCCTTCGGGAGCTTTTTGATGTTTTCAAACCTTCGGGTCATCTGTAAGTCCTGCAGTGCATGATGTTTCCAAAAAACCTTCGGGAGCTTTTTAATGTTTTCAAAGCCTTCGGGTCATCTGTAAGTCCTGCAGTGCATGATGTTTCCAAAAAGCCTTCGGGAGCTTTTTGATGTTTTCAAACCTTCGGGTCATCTGTAAGTCCTGCAGTGCATGATGTTTCCAAAAAGCCTTCGGGAGCTTTTTGATGTTTTAAAGCCTTAGGGTCATCTGTAAGTCCTGCAGTGCATGATGTTTCCAAAAAGCCTTCGAGAGCTTTTTGATGTTTTCAAAGCCTTAGGGTCATCTGTAAGTCCTGCAGTGCATGATGTTTCCAAAAAGCCTTCGGGGGCTTTTTGATATTTTCAAAACCCTTCAGTGCATGATGTTTTTAAGACCTCTGGAATGATGCTTTCAACATTTCAGTCTTACTCAAAAGAAGTCAAATGAAAAATTATTGTTTTTTTTCGTCTTTGCTCTATTCTTGTTAACACAAGAATGAGCAAAGAGGGGCAACTGTAAACACTAATTTTTCATTTTACTTAAATCATTATTAAAATTATTATTATTATTATTAAATATTATTATTATATTATATATATTATATTATTATTAAATAATTATTACAAGCCCAAATACATCATAAGCCCATAACCCTAAACCCATTTACAAAGGCCATTTACAGTTGGCCCAAACCAGAGGAAAACCCTAAAACATTTAGAGTTTTCAGCTAGGGTTTCATCATCCTAGCAACCAGCCGCCTCAACTCACAGCCGTTGGATCTGGCTTTGATCCAACGGCCCAGATGGTTCCCGCAAAGGAAGCCCTAGGGTTTCCTAACCCTAGGTTATCATCCGCCGCCTCCAGAAATCCTCAGCCGCCACCGTTGATTCCAGAAGGCCACACGTCTGTTGCCGACGCTCCACCAGTGCCAAAGCCACCTCGAAGAAGCCTCCAGAAGCTCTGTTGCCACAACACCGACCGTCCACGTCGCCTCTATGGTGAGTCACCAGCATAGCTTTGGTGACTCACCGAGCTTATTCATCCTTCAGACCGGTCCGACGAGAGCCACACTAAGGATATAAAGCCACCACTACACCTGCGAGAAAAGGGGACAGCCACAGACAGTAAGCAAGAACGGAGAAAATCAAGACAACAACTCACAGCAAGCAAAGAAGAGAGTAAGAACAGAAAAAAAGAAGAAGGAAAACAAAAAACAAACCACAAAACAAAAGAAAAGAGTGAGAGAAACTTACCGAGGAAGACATCACCTCGATCGGAGTCACCACCGGCCTCCAAGCGTAACCAAAAACCTTCGAAAACCGAAGGTATTTTCCTAGATTTGCTTCGATTTGGAGCTATTTAAGAGAAAGGAACACCGGAACCGTCATTAGGACGGTCCGATCTACATTCTGGTATAAAAATAAAATTTTCCGGCCACCGGATGCGGTGACCGGCGGCGGAGATAACGACCTTGTGGCGGCCGACTGGCGACCAGATTCCCTCCGGTGAGGGAACCTAGAGAAAAGCCAGAGAAATGCTTCTCTCTGTTTTAGAGAGAAAATGAGAAAGAGAGAAATGAGGAAGCTTGGCCCTTCGGGCCAGGCGTTTAGGGTATTTATACCCCTTCCCAAACGACGCCGTTTTGGGGAGGGGTATCTGTGTAATTTCATAAAGGTTAAACCCTTTCCGCAGCCATCCTAATTTGTAATCCTTACATTTTAGTCACTGAACCCAATTCTAGATCTTTATAATTCGGTTCTTTAATTTTAATTATTTTAATCCTTTATATTAAATAATATATTTAGGGTAAATATCATATTTAGTCCTTTAATTTTAATAATTAATATTTTAATCCCGAGTACATATTTTTAATTTATTTTAATCTGATATTCGAATTTTATATAATTTTATTTTAGTCACCAAATTAATAAATAAGGAGAATAGCATGTTTAATCCCTATAATTTTAAATAATTAATCACAAATTAGGTATTTAATTCTATTAAGTTCTAATTTAGTCACTAATTTCAATTTTTATTTATTTTTTTACAAGTTTTATATATAGTTTTAATTTTATTATTTATATGTTTACTCTTAATTATTATTACTATTATTATTATTATTATTTAGTCATAAATATATATATTTATCTAATAAATAATATTTATTTATTTATTAAAAACTTATTTAATTATTTTTAACCTATTTTAATCATGTTTTAATATTTATTATTTTCAATATTAAGAAAGGGCAGTCTTAAAACAACTGGATGTCCATTTTCTGATATTTTTAAATAAATAAATATTTTTATTTTTTAAATCATATATTAATTATTTTAATTATATATTTTTTAATATCGAAAAAAATAGCTGTCTTAAGGCACCTAGAAGCCCTTTTCTGATATTTTTAAATAAATAAATATTTTATTTATAAATATATAAATTAATATTTTCCATAATTATAATTTTTAAATAATATGATTATAAATTAAATATATTTTGAATTTTTAAATTTTTAATAATAGAGACAATTTATAGTTAAAAAGTACCAATTTTGGGCGTTGTAGGGGTGTTAATCCTTCCCTAAACGTAACCGACCACGAATCCCTTTTTATTATTAAAAAGAACGAATTTTTGGTTAAAACGCAGATCAGTTTATCTTTTAATCGATGTTTTGTTAAAAACTCTTTTAAAGGATGATTTTTAGGTATTCGACCTACCTGATCCAAAAGGCCGATGGCGACTCCCAAATTATTTAAAAAAAACCATTTATTCACATTACTTTTCCCGCCAAATAAATATTTCGTGCCCGGACGAAAATAGGGCACAACACGATTAATGTCAAAGTTTGAATGTAACTCATTTCATGAGGCTTGGAATTACCTCCATAACTGCTTGATTTTATAATCATTGTATAATTAATTTCTTTATTGAATATGAAAATTAATATATTTTCATAAAGAAATCACATTTCGCATATACTAGCATGCTAGAATATATCAAAACATCCAAAATTTCATTGCAAAACACACAATAACATATCTTATCATTTAAGATGCTAGTCAATGCTCAATTAAGAGTCGAAATCATAATTTAAGTATTTTACACATAGTGCCTACATAAAACGAATTCACATAACACAAAAAACAAATAAATACTCCATTTTGACTACACTAACTTAATCTAAACTTACGAAGTTCCTCGGATTGATAGATTATTTAAAGAATTTGGTTATCTACTTTTCCTTTGAGGTTTCAATAATTTTTACTCTTTAAAACATATAAACACAAATTAAAGACATTTGGTGTAGGCTATCCTCAATGCAATGATGATCACAAATGCTTTGCTTAGGAGGACAAAACAACTTCTTACGAGGGAGTGGAAGGTTCGTGTTGAGCACATGCACATATATCATCAAGGCAACTATAGGACAAATGCGACGTTGAATATATTATGGGATTCCACATTTTTTTTTTGCAATGATATGATGTAGCTTTAACAGCGATAGGCGAGGATCTACAAGCAATAAGATGGCCAATTAACGTTATTTTGTAATTTAATATTTTTTATTAGGTAGAGAGGTATTACGTTCTAATACAAATGTCGAGATTCAAATCTATCATGATTAGATAATATAAATATCCTTAATCACTCAATCAATTAATTGATCTCAATTTAGTATTTTATTTTCATTACCATAAATATATACACGATTTTCATATCGAACGACCCAAATCCAATTAAAAACAAACTTAGGCCCAAGCTCAATACTTGATCAATGTCAATAAGTTAGGGTTTGGATTTCAAACTAACGAAACAAATCAATAAAGGCAAACACACAAGATCAATGCACTTGGGGAGTTGTCTCTCAAAAGAATTTCAAGCCTCTTCTTTTCTTCTCAACTTTCGCTCCTAACCCAAATTTTTTCCCTCTTTTTCTTGTTCATTTTGAATTTTTTTCCCTCTCACTCTATACACCCACTAGTTCTATCTACCCAATTACTTTAAGAAATTGCTTCACATTTATTACTACCTTTTCAATGTAAGTTTCTTTGCGGTTGTTCTAGTATCTGATTCCGATCTTTATTTCCTTCTTTTGATGATTTTCAAAGTCTCCTGCACTTTGGGTTTTGGTGGGTATGACTGTCTTTTTAAACCCTTTTTCCCCAATCTGGGTTTGCATTATTTCTTCGTTAAATTGTTTAGTATATATTCTATGCTGTTTTTTCAATGGTTAAGTCATAGATGGATTTTTGTTGTCGTTTGTTTTTGGGTTTTTTCATCTTCTTTTGGGTGAACGTAATTTGGATTTTATGGTTTCTGGGGGTTTTGGTTGGTTCATGAGAAAACGGGAAAGTGGACAAGTATGGTATCTGCTTGATATTTTATCTAAACTGCTAAGAATTAATCAAATCTACTAGCTGATATTTTGTTCTCTTTTATTTGTTTTTCTGGTGCCAATGTACATGAATGCATGTTAAAAGTCGGACTGATTTTGCTCTGCACTTGTATCCTTTTTCTAGCTTGTATCAACTACTAAGCAGAATATATACTTGTTATGTGTGTGGTGTTTTGTTCATATTTTTCTGGGTTCTCTCTTATATCCATCTTAATCTTAACTTAATTTCTTGTTAATATGGTTGTTTGGTTGCTATGATTTTGTGGCATTTTTCTTTGACGTTGACCGATATGTTTTGGTTGACATGTTTAGTTACCTTGAGGCTCTAATCCTAATAACTTTTAGTAATGGGCCAATGGCTTTACTAGTTATCTTTCGAATTTTGTTGCAGGCTCTACACTTTAAATTCTTAGCTTGTGTGAGCATTGGGATTTTACGCGAGCCTGGCTGCTAGGAATTGTTCAGCGTTGAAGGCTTGTCTTTGCGTCTCATTTAAATGTATTGACTACTGAGACTAGCTGATGTTTTGGTGATTGTTTCTAGAATGGTGGGTGTCTGGTGTGAATTGTTTCAAATTTAGGCTTTAGTTGAGAATTATTGGATATTTTTGACTAGTTGTTTGGTTGCATTGGTGCAGGTTGAATATTTTGGATGATAGTGGTCTAAAGGTAGATAGGTTCAGAAATCCAAGTGTTCAGTCTTTATGTCGTATCAGCCATGGAATGTAACAAAGAGGAGGCGATCCGAGCAAAGGTAATCGCTGAACAGAAGATGCAAAATGGTGATTTCGATGCTGCAAAGAAGTTTGCATTGAGGGCACAGAAATTGTTCCCTGAGCTTGACAACATAACCCAATTGTTGGCAGTTTGTAATGTTCACTATTTTGCAAAACACAACATATACGGGTCAGAAAAGGATTGGTATGGGATTCTTCAAACCGAACAGTTAGCTGATGAGAGTTTAATCAAGAAGCAGTTTAGAAAGCTTGCACTATTGCTTCATCCAGACAAGAATAAATTTCCTGGTGCTGAGGCTGCTTTTAAGCTAATTGGGGAAGCAAACAGAGTACTTTCAGACCAAATGGCTCGTTCACAATATGATTTGAAGTGTAGAGCCTCAGTGAAAACTATACCAAAGCCAACTTCTCACCCATCAAATAGGGCATCCTCTGTCTATAGTCAGTCTGGTTTTGCTAACAACTACAAGAATTGTGCATCAAATTTCACTGCTTCAAACGTCTATCAGCAAGCACATCATCTAAAATTTTGGACCCTCTGCAGTGTTTGTGGTTTCAAGTTCCAGTGCGACAAAGATTTTGTGAACAGGATGTTCCGTTGTCTTTCATGCGGATCTATCTTCATTGCCCATGACTTGGGTCTTCAGGGATACTCTTGGAATCAGTTCTCCAATCAGGTCCCGTGTAACTCATCTTCGCATTACAATAGTGGCAAGCCTTCTGATGTGCACGTCCCACATAAATTTGCCGGGTCTGCTCCCATTCCAAAGGCAGGAAGCTTTCAGGTTGGTGGTTTTAAGAAACAAGAGAAAGTAGGGGTTAAAATGCACCAGTCTAAGGAGGGGTTCACAGATCTGAAAGTAGATGAGAGTTCAAACATGAAAGATAGAAAGAAAGGTGTTGAAAAGCATAAGCCCACTGCTGCAAAGCCGAAGGAATCAGGAACTTCAAGAAATGCCAAGCAGAAGAGAGGGTGGAAGTCAGTAGAAGAGTCTGATGGAAGTTGTGAAACTGGCAGTGGAATCAAAGGTGAAAATGTGGTTTGTAAGGAAGATTGCAATAATAATAATAGGGCAAATTCAAACTTGAATGGAGGCAATCCTTCTAGGAGATCTTCAAGGCAAAAACAACCCATTTCTTATGAGGAAAAAATGGCAGATGATGATGATGATTTTGCAAGCCCATGTAAAAAATCTAAGATAAGGACACCACCCAATGCCAATGAGGGAAAGGTGGATGATGAGGTAATGAAAAAGGATAATTCCGGTGGCTTTACAACTGCTGCAGATGTATATAAGAAAGAAGTCAAACAGAAAGCAAGTGCCCCTCCTGAAGATGACGTCATGAGAAACAAAAGGAAAACTGGAGAGTCTAAAGGGAAGGAGGAGGAAACTGTTATACTTGATAAAAATAAAGTGCACCAGTTTGATAGTGGTTTAGAGTCAAGTAGAGATATGAATCCATCTCCTCGGGAACTTGAATACCCTGATCCTGAGTTCACTGATTTCGATAAGTACAGGTTGGAGAACATTTTTGCTGTTAATCAAGTCTGGGCTATATATGACACATTGGATGGCATGCCAAGATTTTACGCACAGGTGAAGAAGGTGTACCATCCTGGTTTCAAGCTACAAATTACTTGGCTAGAGGCTGACCCGGATGAGGAAAAACAGCAGAACTGGGTCTATCTGGATCTGCCTGTTTCTTGTGGCAAGTACCGCAATGGCTCATCAGAGGCATGTGTAGATCATCTGATGTTCTCCCATCGGATTGACCCCATTAAACTTTCCAGTAAATGCTTTTTTGTTTATCCTCGGAAAGGGGAAATTTGGGCTCTCTTCAAAGATTGGGATGTTAAATGGATTTCAGAACCAGAAAAGCATAAACCACCATACCAGTATGATTTTGTGGAGGTTCTCACTGATTTTGATGAGGAAGTTGGCATTGGGGTTGCTCATTTGGGTAAAGTGGAAGGGTTTGTCAGTATTTTCCGACAAACTGAACGTGATGGAGTTATCTCATTTCAGATTTTATCATGTGAGCTTTATAGATTTTCACATCGAGTTCCCTCATTCAGAATGACTGGTAATGAAAGAAAAGATATACCTGTGGGATCTTTTGAGTTGGATCCTGCTTCTCTTCCTACATACCTTTTTGAGCTGGTTGATTCTGGTGATATGAAGCCGAGTAATGAGGATGAACGTATCGAAGCTATAAGAGATTGCAAATTGACTCAGCCCAAAGGAAGTTCTATTTCAAATGATGCTGTGGAGGAGATGAACAACGAGAAAAAGTGTGAGAAAAATGATCACACCACAGATTTCCTAAAACTCCGTAGCTCACCAAGAGATTTGAGCAGCAGTCAAGCAAATGCTAGTCAAAATGACACTAGGGAAAATGGTAAGAATCATTCAGTTTCCAACAAAAAAGAAAAACATGGCATTTTTGGTAATACAGGAGATTCCTTGAATCCGCCTTTTGGTAACACGCGTTTACATGAGAGGGTTAGTGGTACAGATGATGTTACTAAAAGCTCTAGTGTCTTGACAACAATGTCTCCTGCACTCTAATACTTCAAATTTAGAGTGTTACGATTTTGCCCCTCTTAACCCGATTGATTTTGCCCCTCTTATGCTAGATATCTTGCATGGCCTTAACCATTAGCCATTTTCTTTTGGCCAAAATTGATGTTTAAGCCTTTCGAATATTGAACTAACGCACGTCTTTTTTTAATTTTCAGTTGCAAACTTGCAGTGATGATGATTTGAATTCTCATATGATCTGCATTAGGGCTCATCTTGCAGCTTCTATTTGGGGTGAAGTGAGTTGGTTTTTTCTCCATGTTTATTTGCATATGTAAATGCTTATCTGATGGTATACGTTCTATTTTTCTTATGGTTGACATTTTAATGGCCTTTGATTGGACTTGTGATGTCTCTTTTTATGTGCATGTTCATTATTTCTTTTTCTCCGTCATCTAAAATTTGAAAATGTAGCAAATATTAGAAGTTTCAAACATTATGCTGTTTGGTTTTTCCTTGATCCCATTCATGCCATGTAAATTTTGGTAAACAAAAGTGGATTAGGGCTAACTACATTGTTAATGAATTCAAGACTTGAAATGAACTTTTTCAAAGATCCTCATCAAGTCCTGGCCTAGATTAGGGCTATTAGAAGCTGAAGATGGATGAGGGTCATAATGGCAATGAGTCATAATGTGCAATGAGTGCTGCAACCAAACCAGCATTGCTTGCTATGCTTGGATCAGTGAACCACTGTTTGCCCCTTTCATTGGAGAAATCATCCAACCGATCTGGTCCAGCAACCATTGCTCCCAAAATTGTATTCGGATTTGGATATTACGAGTTCAGCCATCTGCTACCTTCGGCACAGGAGTGATATTGACCATCCCAAGGAATCGATGCCTTCGGCTGTGAACTCGTGTTGGATAGTGATCTACAAAGCCGATCATGTAGCTCATCTTCATCGGATTATCTCCTAGAATGTAATTAATCTGTATAAATGATACAATAAAGACTGCTGTTTTTGTTGCATTATTGCATGATTAGTTATTGCATACTTATAGAAAAATATAGGCTTGCCTTTGTAACATTTCCAAAAATAAACGACCATCGCTGTAATTCCAACCGGATCTGTGAATAAGTGTAAGGTAATCCTTGTATAATTTACCCAAGAAAGATGCCGTGGCTGCATGCTGGAGTGCTCCACCATTATCAGGCCTTAAGAGGATCAATCCACCTACCATTAAATCGTACAAGATAATTGATGATTAAATTTAGGCATGTAAACGAACAGAACTTTCAGTGAATTTTCATGAATCATTCGACGGGAAGTTCGTTTACGTTTGTTTATTTATTAAACGAACAAAAACATGAACAAGATTTTTTTCGTTTAATTAAATGAACGAATACGAACAGATGGCTCGTTCGTTCATTTACGTTCATGAACTTTCAATAATATGTTTGTTCATTTACGTTCGTTCGTTAATGTTCGTTTACTTTTGTTCATTTATGTTCGTTTACTTTCGTTCATTTATGTTTAGCCTAATATCTCTAGACCCATTTAAATTAATAAGGCCTATTAAATTTTAATCTGATACTCATTAATATTTTAAAATTTAATTAATTTTATATGTTTATTTTGGTTATTTATGTTCGCTTACGTTCGTTTATGTTCATTTATTATATTTATTTACGTTCGTACGTTTGTGTTCGTTTACATTCATTTATTGTGTTCGTTTATGTTTGTTTACATCCGTTCGTTTATATTCGTTCATTTGTGTTTGTTTATCATTTAAATGAACAAACATGAACGGACAGGAACAAGCTACATTCCTTAACGAACGAACACGAACAAGAAATTTTATGTTCGTTTATGTTTGTGTTTGTTCATTTGTTCGGTTAAAGTTAAACGAACGAACATGAACCCCCATTCGTGTTCGTTCGATTCATTTACATGCCTAATTAAATTAGTGTTAACTCGAATTCTTAACAAGTTGAAATGAGTTATTTAATACCTGATTTGAAAATCTCATGAGCAACTCGAAAAAGAATAATATATTTAGTTTTTATTTTATAAAATTAAATTATTAATAATATTAAAATTTACATGTTTTTTAAAAAATACAATGTAAGGCTTTCATGTAGTTGGCGTTAATGTTTGAATTCAAGTTTGAGCTTGAATCCAACTTAGGTTTGAGAATATTTTGAGTTTGAGTTTCAATTTCTTTGATTTCGAGTTAAGTTTGAAAATTTTAAGCTTTCGAGTTGAGTTGAGTTGAGCTTCACTTTTTTATTCCAAATCGAGTTAGACAATTTAAACTCAAGTGAATTTTCAAATGAAGTCGAACTCAAGAATATTCGAATTCGACTATGTTCGTTTACTGACCTTGATGAAACGACTCTACGAAGTATACATCCATGTTTTGTGCCTAATTGTAGGAATGAGACTCTGTATGAACATACCAGGCGTAATATTGAAGTATTTGTGTGAAAGATACGAACACATAAGCTGTTAAGTCATGTTGGAGGCTAATCCTAATGCCTTTTCATATGGAAATCCAATATCACGAAAGAAACGAAGCCTTGTAAACAAAACCTGCAAAACCAGAAAATAAGTTTAAAAGTCCTTGTAATGTATGTATGCACCTAGGGGTGTAAACGAGCCGAGTCGAGTTTGAGTATTGTTGAGCTCGACTCAACTCGAAAACTCTTAAATGAAGCTCGACTTGACTCGAAAACTCGCGAGCTTAAAATTTTCACTCGAAAACTCGCGAGCTTAAAATTTTCAAGCTCGACTTGAACTCGAAATGTTGAACTGAAGCTCGTGAGCAGCTCGAAAAGGCTCGAAATAAAAAACAAATCTTAAACTTAACTCGATTGAAGCCTCAACTTAAACTCGAACATGAACCTTAAATACATGAAATCTTACTGTATTTTAAAAAAAATCAATACATAAATATTAATATTATTAATAATTTATTTTAAAAAAATAAAATCTTAATATTTTATATTTTCGAGTTGCTCACGAACTTTACGAGTCGAATATCGAGTAGCTCGTTTCGGCTCGTTAAGAACTCGAGTCGAGTTCGAGCTCAAACTCAAGTCGAGTCCATTCGATCCGAGTATTTATCGAGCCTTGATCGAGTCGATATCAAGTAGCTCGAGATCTGTCTCGTCTCATTTACTGCCCTATATGCACCAAATACAAAAACCACATATATCATATCTTCCGTTTTAACTAATCCTAGTTAATATCCACTGTCTTGTTTGAATACTATTGAAGCTGCTAATAGTGCTGCAACGATTTCCTGCTAAATCAGAAGCTGTCTCGTTACAAACCGAGACAGGCCTCTCGTAGCTCATGTCTTCTGGCCTTTGCCATCAATTTACGTCGTTGGGGATTCGATTTTTCGTGTCGTTACCTGCACTTTCGACCTAAAGACACATCAGAGGACAGTCTCAAACGTTAATATTGTCACTGATGGTATTTTCAGGCAAATAATTTATGCAAATGCTTGCCTGTGAATACAACACCGTGGAGTTAGATTTTGCACTTGGAGGAACAAAGACCTTGAGCAAGTAATCATTGCCCCATTTGATAACATCTTTTATATGCTCGAGCTTGTCGATATCTGCATATTTTTGATGATATTCGATGACTGACCAGCTCAACACGGTGATGGTATAAGCTGTAGGGAAAGTGAACTTGATGTTGTTGCCGGAATCATAGAATCCACCCACAAGATCAGCAAGGATATTTCTTGAATTCCCATCCTGCAAACCCGAACTTGCTCGGAAATTTATCGGACTATTACTCGGATAACTCCCAGCTATAGAAGCGAAGGTGAAAAATGTTCCAACTGACATCAGAGAATGCTAATCAACGGCAAATTCAAGAGGATAAAATCACAAAGTCTTACACTTTTGCATCGAAGAATGTTAAAGCTCGGTTAACTACAAGAGTGAGATTGTTTGAATGTGGATGGTGATGGTTCTTTTGAGGCAAAAAATGCAGAAGCAGACCAAGTGTTAGGACAACAAACGCCAGAGCAAATGAAATATAAAGAAAACGCTTGTAATGTGTTTTATCGGCGATTACAAGCTCGAAATCGTATGATTTAAAGTAGGGAGAAGGAAGGGAAACATCCATGTCAGATTGTGAAGAGTTCCATTTGCTGGCTGAAGGAAGAAACCTGCCTGTCTCGGAGTCTTTTTCTGCATAGGCTACTGAGGTACTTGAGCTTGCCATGGTTGATGAAAAAAGATTGAGAGCAAGGTTTTATATTAAGGACGAATTTCAAAAATTGTAGGAGAAGATCAATTTATAAATTCAAATTCTAGAGGACGAATATAAATTGTTCATAAAAAATATATTAAAAAATATCTAAAATATATAATTAATTTTAATTTTTAAGAAGAATGATTACTCAAACCACCTTTTTGATCCATCCCTGCTACCGTACCATACCAAACCATGGGTGACTATTTCCTTCACTATAAAAAATGGAGTGAGAAATTGATCTACAAATAGACAAAGATTTAGAGAATTGATGGCAACGAAAATTAAGAAATTTTAACGGCATTTACAATGTAGGGTTGGCGGCTGTTTTGATAAAATGTCCATACTTGCTTATTTAACATCTTAATATATAAATCTAATACTTGTATAAGTCAAAATGAAATGCAGTGGCACCTTCTTATACATAGATATGGTTTCAAACTTTTAGTTAGCATTAGTTCCAATTAACATGAAATTCATTATGAGATTATGGCCGCAAACTTTATGACAAATTTAACAAATAAGATATTGATTGAATCGGATTGAGGGCGAAATTAAAAAAAGTTGGCCCTTATTTCAGAAAAAAATTAAGAAATATGTAATATGAAATGTTTATTCATACAAATACTTATAATAAATATTGCCTTCAAGCATTTCGTGATGTAAAAATGATAGTGTCAACATCAATGCTTTCCAATATATTTTCCTCAATACATAACATTTGAAAATAAAAGAACAATCTTATCTAAAATTTAAAAATATATAAAAATCAAAAGAAAGAAATTTGAAAACATGATCTTACCTATAATTTTAAGAACAATCTTCAATATGATTCAAGCACCACAATTGGTGATAAACAATTGTAATTTATTAACATTAATATAAAAAATTCAATAACTACAATTTACACTTTAATAAATAAACTCATGGACACATTATTTTATTTTACATTTTTTTAAAATTTATTTTATTTAATAAACTCATGGCCATATTATTTTGTTTTACATTTTTTAATTTATTATAAAAAATAAGAAAAATATTATATTAATTTTTTTAAATTTATGGTCTTGGGCGGGTGCCCCTCTTGCCCTGGCCAAAGGTTGGCCCTGCATACAAGACTTCCAAACTTAACAAACAGATCACCCTATCTACTTATTAATTACAAAACAAGACATATGTCATCATTTAGGAGTTTAGAAAAACATGAAATTACACTAAATTTCTTCGGAAGTGATTTGCAACGTCCAAAATACAATCGTGATTGATCTATGAATAACAAAATCTTGCAAGAGTTATTTGAATACTCAAAAATAGCATAAATCTTAGTGATGTAGTTAAACATTAGGCATGATGCAATAAAATTCCCCTAATGTTTGACAATATTGCCAAATTTACCCTTATTTTTTTTAACACATTTTACCACTGAACGTTTTATTTTGGGTCAAAAAATACCCTCGGTGGATGGAAATTGTTAGTCAACTGACGGTCAACGACAAACGCTGACCAAGCATGCACACGTAGAGGGAGATGCTGACGTGGTGCGTCTAGGTCATAAATATTTAAAAATAAAAATAAAATATTATTATTAATATTAATATTTAATTATTTATTACCAATAAGATAGTGACACGTGTCACTCTCCAACACCATGATGTTGGTTTAAAGG